TAGTTGTCCCAACCGAGTTGGTCACCCACACACTGGTCAGATTTTGTGCTTATGTTTGAGTCAACCAAACCCGAAATAAAGAGAGAGATTGTAACGTCTTGTGATGCAATGTAGTGAATGGGCACTTCAAAAGACCAACTTCGTCTTCTGTCAGGGAGAGACGCGGATGATGGAGAGAGAAGATTCGGGAAGTTCACTGTCATGTCTGGTTCGCTCACTGTATCATAAAGTGAGCGCTTGAGGCCCAGCGATTGCATGTGTCAGTTGTTCGGAAAATGCCACTCGAAAGTGTAGACCGTCGATTGAACTGTGTACTTCTTCCAGTTTAATAAATATGTCAACGCTCGTAGTCTTTTTGTGCTCAAGGGAACAAATGAACATGGATCCACCTGATCAATGCAACACCATGCTTAATCAAACCTGGAATTACTCATTCAACCAAGTTTTTGAATTTTAACGAAAAGTTTTAGCTTTCTTTGAGAGGTGTTTTATGCAGTTACACAACAGAATCATTTCACTTCGTTTGGAGCCTCGGGTGCGGACCGTTATTTCTGTTTGCGCTTTGATATATGGTTTACAGTTAATAATTATTATTACTGATGTGATTGATATAATCAGTTATATCTCACCTCAATATTGCCTACTTCGGAGGGGGGGGGGAGACCTAATCTTGGCATATCACATACTGCATCAACCCAACCACCCTTGCCGTTCTATGCTGACTTTATCTCATAATGACCACCTCAGGGGGCATCCACTAAAGGTGAGGACCCAGAGCAACCACCGTGATTGTCGGCATCACTCGTTTGCAGTCAGAGTGTACGGCGTATGGAATTCTCTCCCATCTGATGTAGTGTGTGCTCCTACAGTTGAAAAATTTAAATCGCAACTTGATAAAGCATTGGAACACTTAAAATGTCAACATCCGTGAGTTATCATGCACATTATTATCTTTGTTATTTTCTCTTTGTGAAGTTATTCAAAATATTCTGTAAAAATCCTACGGGGCATAAGCTTTAGCTTTGTTAAATCGCCCATAATAGAACTTTGACTTTAGTCTGGGGGATAGTTTCAATGTTTTAGTTCCATCTCTTCGTTAATTATCAGCCATCAGGTTTGAACAATCCATGAACAGATTTCGGTGAGGTGATGAAATCATCAAATCAGTGTGCTTTATGTTCCGTGCTTTATTCCTCGGCTTGCGACTCCATTGCCACAAAGCTTCTTCTAAGAGAGGCAGAAAACTTTGCATCACCACCTTCTTCACTGATCGGATTAGTAGACTACTTTCAGAGAGGACATCAGCCTTTGTTGAATGGTTCATGAATACCTCAATGGGGAGGGGAAGTTCGTCCTCCTTACTTATTGTCTATCTCTATTGGCGATCTCTCTGTAAGATCATGTGACCAACCCTGTAATGATGCGAATGATGTATATATTTTATTTATTTTGCCTATTCTTCAGTCTTTTCACTGTACAATACTTTTTCATTGATAGTAGTGCCAATTTCCATCCAAACCACTGGGTTGAATGCATTTTTAGTTGCGCTGAGTATTTTCTGTACCATCCAGGGTAAGATCAATTAAATAACTAAGGGTCATCAGTGACGAATTTGCATGGGTCTCGCCACCTTTGATCTCGTGTCGTGTTTACGAATTAAGCGCTCAACGCTTCACAATTTTTTTCCTCTTGTCTTACTTACTCATCAGCTCTCCCGTTTTGTTTACCCCGGTCCTTTGAAGAAGAATTTCAGAGCATTGAGATGCGGATCCTTGCTTACCATCATCAAAGCTTCAAGTTCTTCTAGTTGTCCCATTTTTTAAGCCTGTAACGAAAATTTGCACCCGCGCTTTACACATTGTTGCCTAATGCTACCTCTGCATGTATAGTCACAGTTACGTCGCATCCCAGTACGTCCAAATGTGTACTAATATTCAATATTTCCGACGTCAACTTGTGAACGATCAACAGACTGCGTTTTATTGAAGAGGTAGACTTTCAACTGATGTTTTTCGTATATTTATCATCAAACAATGGGATAATTTGCCTTTATATTTTGATTGAACTGCGGGACCATACTCATGACAGTTACAGTATGCAGTATGCAAACTAACTTGTATTTTTCTAGTAATCCAGTTTTTAACTAAATTTTCCGTTCCGTAGTTTCTATTGGTATTGATTTGAACTGACCATCCTTCAGACTTCACCTGCATGCATAATCCTCAGTTCTTCCTAGTAGACCATATACTCGGAACTACTAGACTCGAGTTTCTCTCTTATTATAGCTCATCAGTAGTGCATATCCACCATCCCGCCCGGGCTTTGAACTTCTTAAAAACTTTATGGAAGACGTGAGTTAGCACTGCGTCAACCAGCTCATACCTGAGCTGAACTGAGTTCACAATTCATGTTTGTTCAAATGTCGTCTTCAGTGATAATGAATCAATTCAAATTATACTAAATTTTAAATTAACTGTAAATGTGAACAAATACTTCCGTCTATTATGGTTGTAGCAAGTCAGTCCGTACCTTGATTGGAGGCCTTAATTTATTGAGAGGCTTTTGATTAGGGTTAACAGATAGTCAATTATATCTTACTTCGTTGCTGTCGGGTCAAAATTGAACTGATTTACTATCACTGGAGATTTTATCTGAACAACCAAAATGGGCAATCCAGTTCAGTCCTAGTATGAACTGGTTAGCACAGTGGCATCAAACACGTACACCTTCCATGCGACCGGTCCGGAGTTCAAATCCCGGAGGGGGCGGTAGATATGCATTGCTGATGAGCTCCATTAAGAGCAAAACTCGAGTCTATTGTGTCTGAGTGTATGAATGGCTAAGATAACAGAATTGTGCGTGAAGGTGAAGTCTGAGGGATGGTCAGTTCAAATCCACAACAATTATGCCGCATCATTACGCATTAAGAGCTGTGAGATAAATGTAAATGTGAGTTCCAGTGGGGTTGGCCGTACTTTTTCTCATTGATTGGAGTTCTGCGCCTGAATTTTTAACGATTACATCCCTATAACAGTTGAGAGCCCCGTAGTATTTTGTTCGAATGATCCTAGTTGACAAAGTTACCTAAAACCACAGTTATACGTTTAAATTGTGAAACTATCAGCAGCCCCAGTGGGATTCAAACCTGCGCATGGACATTACCTACGCTTTCGTAAAGCGTAGGCTTTACCAGTTGAGCTACTGTGGTTTATTCGCTGTCAGCGCTCATGCAGTGTTCATCTTAACTAACTGCAGGGCTTGCTCGGTTTGCTTAGCGATATCGTGTGGAACTCACAGGTCCCGGTGTAAGCCGTCTTATATGCAATGGATACGCGGTCACTATCTTGATTGAAATTATGCATAAGCAATCCGTTTGACCACAATCCCTGTCAGAAGAGAACTGGTGAGAATATATTGCTCTGTCAATAACTCCCACCGTCTTAATCCATAGAAGGACGAGCTTTGTCGGAATACCAGGTGTAGATTTTGCAGATGAAATGCACCGCTTCTGATCAGCAAGCACGGTTTCCATTGGAACTTCCGTAAAGATTGAACTTGAACTAATCGGTAGGTGAGTCGGGTCATACAATCGTTGACTGGGAAGCAGTTCAACGACTCCGACATATGACTTTGTAGTCCACTTGTTTCAAACTAACTGGTACATTCCCCTCCTGATCTTCTGGCATGTATTCAGGAATAACGATAAGGCGGTTTGGTGAAATCTATTTAAAGATTGTGATTTCTCTCCAAGGATCGAGAAACAGATCCGTTTTTACCTTTATTTTTTTCCTTATTCTGACCTATAATATTTTTGTTTCCGAAGGTAAAGACGTTTTCAGACACACCAACATACACTTACATCCACACACTCAGCCTTCTGTTCTGCACAGTTGTCTTTCGTTAGGCTCCGCTGTTTTTCGGGGACAGAGTTGAAATAGAAATTGACACTTTGCTGCTTGTGTTATTATCATATTAACACCTTTGCCAAGTTTTCGAACAGCGACAACTCAAACGGCTTTCAGACACATTTGTTTAAATACACAGCTTATTGTTGTTGTTCGGTGCAACATAAAGAATTGTGTTGGGAAATCCCACGTTTCATTTAATTTCTGGGTGGCCTTCTGTGTACCGGAGCTTTCAATTGACTGTACTCCTGTCAAGTTAGTATCCCTCCTCGTTTGTGCCTGTGGCGGCACGTAAAAAGAATCGCTGGCTAGGACTGTACCACGTGACAGATGCCATCTGACTCGCCTTTGCCTTCGGAATGAGCGGAGGTTACTTGGGCTGAATAATAACACTCGATAGCTGTGAGTGTGCATTCGTTTGAACCCAACACAGACTTACCAAACAATGAGAAACATAGTTGATTCATTTATTCGGAAGCACGTTTCCATGGTCATAACTGGCATGCGACTCAAATGAAGGAATTCTGCGGTACAAACGGAATGACTGATCTGCAGTTGCAAGTGTAATACTAGTCGGGACTCACTTGTCTGTTGTGAAAGTGTGACAGGTGCTTTTGTAATACGAAAATTCACAAATGAGACAACCCTAACCTGTCACATTAAGACTTCTTATCGTGTTTATTGCTACCCGAATTACTCACACCCTCCTCATTCCACGGAAGGGGACTCTTCCCCTCTTTCTCTGTCATTCCCTCCTATTAACAGAATTTCTTTCTGATCGACGATTCATCTATCACGCAGAGTCGATATGTCACTCACAAGTAAAAACACATGGCTTTGAAAAATCATAGAGCTACACAATAAAATTTCATGAGGAATTTGGTTGTATGCAGAGCGAAGGAAACGTGAACTGCCAAGCTAGAACCAAGGCACTTTCGTCCTCGTTTCTGACCGGCTCTTAAGCCTGGAGAGTAGAGCTAAGTTGATCGAGCTTTGATGAACACAATCAGTTTGCCAGCATGGCTTGTGCTATTTCGTAGATAGGCAAAGGCAAGTCAACGGATAAGCTACCTGGTTATCTTGTGATTAGTATGCTTGCATTGTATTGTTGAAAACCTTGGTTCCAACTCCACTGTGGCATTGCTGATGCTACCGAACGAGGTTGAAACAGGTATATTGTGATTTCAATTTTTTGATTCTCGGGTTTATTTAACGCGCACAAGATGCATTGCATTGTGGGTCCAAATCAAATCCTTCATCGCACCCGCTGAACAGCTATATCGTGTAAAGGGAAAATGAAAAGCGGTCTGGGCAGCTGACCGGTAACCGAGTGGGTAGTATACCTGAGTTCTGCTCATTAAGTACCGGGTTCGATCCCCAGTTGGGTCGTCGGATTCACACTGCTAATGAAACAGCTATACAGTGATTCCTAGCTTTTCAGTTCACGCTTCATTTGCCATATACATGACAAATTTATCCTTTGAAAATGATAAACCGTTAGCATTGCTGCTAATAAAGCAAAAATAACGGAAATTGGTCCGTGTGGTGATTTTACAAAATGGAATAGAGATCAAATTTAGTGTGTTTTTATGCTCAATAGGAGGGGGTGAGTTCTTTGGTTTGCCAGTTTCACGGAACTTGCAAATTTATCCCACTGCATTCACGGATCATACTATTAGTAATATTATTATTATTTATAGTAGTAGTAGCAGTAGTAGTAGTAGAACTAATAATAGTGGTTATAGGGCAATAGTAATTGTTATCGAAATGTCAATGCCATTCACAGAACAAACAAACAAACCACACCACTCACTGATAACGCTTGGTCAGGTTTGAAGATTTCCTTTCAGTATGCTTTGGTGAACTAGGCAGCCAGTTCGATCGGTTTGTAGTTCACCTTTTTCTGATTCATGATTTTACCTTAATTCACCTTTTAGAACAGACCTTGTTAGGGCAACATTGAATGATTTTATAGGATAGTTTGTATAAAAATGATTCTGAAAGTTGAAAGTAATTCGTCTAATGGAAGGAACTGACTTCGTATACAGTGGTGAATTAATGGAAATCACAATAAGAAATGGTGATCGTATCTGCATTTCAGATTCCAAGACGTGCAATCAGCAAATCAGTAGACATCTTTTCCGTTTGTCTTCGGGTCTATGACACAGTGATCAAACGCACTCATGTACATTGACGTTAGAGACAGTTTACGCATACATGTTCATCATATCAAGAATTTTCCGTATTTATGAAACTAAGAAGAAGAAAACTGACCTTCACTTGACTCTCTGACATCCCAAGAAAGTAAGCCAAACGAGCTCGTTCCGGTCCGGCCAGATATTTGGTCTGTTCAAACGTTTTTTCCAGGGCAAATATCTGTTGCCCAGAAAATGTCGGTCTAGTGTGTTTCCGTTTGCCTTCTTTGTCCAGCACGGGGTCTGAAATGTGCAACAAAAGGAAATAGTGAGATTGTTTCACGTTATTGTCTCCGCTTCCTCTTCCTCTCTCGTGGAAACATTTTATTTCAAACTATATATCAACGAACTACCTGTCCCTGCTCCTGCATAGGCTTTAATCATGCGACTTCACTTGAAGCTCTCTCTCTATCATATCCATAGAGCTTCCATTTACAGTTAACCAGTTTTGAAAAGTGCGACATCTGTCATTTCAATTTCGAAGGCCTAGACAGTTTTGTATTTCATAATCAGCTATTCCTACCGATGTGTATCAGTGTCTCTATCTATTCGACCCTACTGGCTTACTCGAATACGATTTTAAGGGCTTACTGTGTGGTCTGATAGTTGTTAGTCACCTTTACTGAATATTTTTTTGTTGAATGACTTAATTGCGAAACATTCTTGTATTGACTTTACGACAACAACTTTTGCATACACTAACCACCCTCTACGAAGCCGCATTAGCAAGTTATCGCTAACTCCCCTCAAGGATCCCGAATTCCTGCCTATAAGGGAAGCTTGCTGTACCCTACCTCGCACATGAACTCACTAGCCAAGAGAAAGGATAAACAGCGAACTCCCTCTGAAACTACATATTTTTTTATCATCTCTGAGAGTCAAAATGCAGTTTTTCAACTCAAATATAAACTATTGCATTTGCACGCTTTATGTAATGTGATATTGTTGCATATATATATATATATGAATGAACTGACAAAATATTACCGAATACTAATACCTGACAAGCAGCAAGAACAGCGAAATCGGTCGTGCACTTCCAGGGAAATTTTGGCTAGTCATTCAGATACTACTTATTATGATATATATGTATATATCTATAGAGAGAGAGAGTTGATGCTCTTGAAACGCATGGTAAACATTGTGCGATAATGGTTTCCAGTGGACCCGTTGATGTGCCACGGAAACCCAACTGGAATATCTCTAATCTACTTTTTGCCAAAGATTTTTACCATTACATGTAACGGTTATGTAGGTGTATTTATAAATGAATTATCATTGAATAAACAATTAGACAAGGCTGTTTTCTCACCCCTCCACTTAAACCGACCAATTTATCTCACCAAGTTTTGTTCCGCATCGGTTTCGCGGACACCTCNCCTCTCATCCGATATCCTATTTCCCGTATAGCCGTGACAAAAACCATCATGTCTAAACATAAACACGAACACAGTCGGTCGGTCGGTCGGTCGTTCGGTCGGTGTTATAATAATTAACATTCATTTTGCTATTGTGGTGGTTGATGTTTACCTTGACAACCTCATTGAAAACACGCTCATAAGTTAGAGTTTCAGCTAGTAATCGAAAATCAAACCCCGTCTCCCACTTCCACCACCACCCACACACCCTATTGAGAGTTATCTTAGATGAGCGCGAGCAGAAACACAATTGGGTGGTACATTAAATATGCCAACGCGTGTGACTTGTAACAGAGTGGTAATTGTAATGGTCGATGAAGAGCATTGGATAGCTATTCCGATCTGATCTGAATGCGGTCACGGTGCGTGATATTATTTGTGCCCCTGATTGAATCCCAACTCTGAACTATTTTGGGAGGGGAGGGGGAGTTGCGTGAGTCGAACCCTCTGACCTATACGATTGATGAGCAGAACAAGTAGTGACTGATACCTTAGGCAGGTTAACCTATCTTCATGTGAATAAGTTACTACAATTCTCGATAAAAAAGCAGTTTGAGAATATTTTTTGTGAGGAATATGGGATCAATTTTAAAATATTGGTGTAGTTCATTTGAGTGTAACTTAGTTTGGACAGACATTTTTAATTTCTCCTGTGCTCAACAGAAGAATTAGGAACAAGCAAAGAAAAAATCAATTAAATTACTTTCAGCTAGTCACTGGGTAGGTTCTTTGCCAATCCAGGTTCGTCTAGATCCAAACTTTGCACATAAATTTTACGGGCATGATTATAAACTGCTGAAAACAACTATTTTTTCCAGAAATTGTGTTCTGTAGTTGGGCCTATATCGAGATCACTTGGGTTTTCCAGCACTAATCTTGAAAGACACTTCCTTTATTGAATCCAGACAAGACCGAAATCTATCAGAATATTACTGATACTATCCGAAATGGTGTAAGTTAAACTAAAATTGCCTGTGAGATTTTGTTAAAAAGGAATTCTTTCCATAGAATCTGATCTCACATACACTATGACCCTCTTTCTCCCTCCCCCGGCAGCTGAATTTCTCAAGTTATTCTGTCTGAAGATAATAAGGATTCACTCCCGCCCATGCTATTGCCATAAACATTGAAATTGCGAGTCTGACTGACCTGGTCGCGTAAATCGCATCCATGAATGTAACGGCGGTGAGGGAACTTCACCTGATTAGATGGAGTAGGTNTTCACCTGATTAGATGGAGTAGGTGTATTCGGTTTCACAGTTCCGTCGAAATGAAGTTGAAGTTATTGTCCAGCGGTGGAAATTAAATCCCCGATGTTTACACACCAAAACTTTCGCGGAATTATGCGCAGGTTTTATTTTATCTAAATCTGCAATCTATACTTTCTATTGTATTTTTGACCCATTAAAATGTGGGGGTGGGTCTGAACGGAAGAAAATAAAGAATATGAGTGAGTAACCGATCAGCCAGTGATTGCTTTCATGCATACTTTTTCTTTGGGTTTTCACTAGAGCTGTCCTCATGGAAAATCAATGATACATTGCACTTGAAAATCTAGAAACGAACAAGTATAGCCACTTTGTTTTCTGTCATACACCTCCCCCAGTTACTTAGCTGCTTAAGAAGGCTAAAGATGAGCTTTCAGTTTTGCACTCACTTGACCCCAATCAGTTCTGAATTAGAGTGGGGTATTGGTGCATTTGGCCGAAATCAAACTAATCGGTTGAATGCATCGCAGTTTTTTAATGATTTGACTGGTTTTTGAAACGATAGACGAATATCCAAAATGCACTGTTTAGTTCGGCTAAATCAGTCCTGTACATCTTTTCCACCGTTTCACTAGCTTCCTGGTTTGTGTGCCTGCAACTTCATATCCCGCTCGGTGGATAGTAATGTACTGATCGACCCTGAATCGGCCGCAACCGTTCTATAATGAATGACGGCTGAAAAGTATCCATAACGGTGAACGGACGCACGCGTGTGGCTGATATGAAAATGTTTACACGGATAATCGACTCATCAACCAAGTAGTCTCATGGTAGCTATCATTTTTATTACGATTATTCGAACAGAGATTATTATTACTATTATCATTAATATTATCGTCAATATTATTATTGTCCACGTCCACCTCTCCACCTCCTATCCAGCTTTGTGTTCATTCGACCGTCCGAGTTCAGAGAGGTGGTCGAGATTGCCTTGACCATGACTCGCTCACTCATTCATCCGTTAGCTCGCTCGTTTGTTCGTTTGTTCGTTCGTACCTCTATTCCATCACTCGCTCACTCACTGTGGGCGTCAAACTTCAAAGCAACGGTTAGATTTGATTGCAAATTTATAGTCTCATAAAAGTTTATGTTTCGGCGTAAACAATCAATTAACATTACGGACTGTATCAAACGCACACTGTGCCACCAAACATGCTCGCATACACACATACACCCATAGACAGACAGATACAAGCGCGTTCATGTATAACGATAATTGCTTATGCATTTGTAGACTCCTGTTCACCAGTTCTCATATTAATACATGGGAACATGAATTTGTGTGCGTGCATGCCTGTGCGTAGTTGTTCATTTTACTGTCTGTTTACGAACCAAGTAATCGGAAGATGAGATCCAGGAAACCCCCGTAACCCCTCCCCACCTCCACCTCGAAATGTGCGATGCATGGATTTGTCTTGACCGTTGGGGGCGATGATTCGAATCCTGATGGCGATCATTGTGTCACATCGACAACTAACGGCTCGGTTACACACATCCTCCTGTTCAATTCATTCCACAAACGTCAAAACGATTGGCCCGATGGGACAAATCGGATTATCGCCATGGCCTGGATTATCTATGAGATAAAATTAATATATTTCCGTTGTTTATCCTTTGCGTTCGGTTTGCGTTAGCTCCATTAAACGCATGACCTTGAAGATACTGACTAATTGTCCGGATGGTTGACGGCCTGACCACTGTTGTATAACAAAAAACTCCCTACACAATCCTCGATTGTATTTGAATAAATCTTGTTATCAATATAATTTAACTAGCTCATAAGATTCAATCATATGCGCGCACAGAGAGCACCAAGTTAAATTGGAGGAATCGTTAACTGCCGTGAATTTTCCACTTTTCCTTAGCTATTTACTCATTCACTGGGTCAGTTATTCGGTCAATCAGTTAGTTAGTTATTCACACCGAACAAAGCCATGCACACGCGAGTATTAGCACATACCTCATTTTGTTTAGCTAAAATAAAAGAACTGATTGTACTTCGATGAAACAGAATGACAGCAATTAGATTTGATTACTTTATTGGCACTGGACACTCTATATAGGGTTGTCTAACTTGTTCCGGATGTGGATTTTGTTCCTTGCAAGATCGTTCTTTCCCAAACCCGTTGAGAGTAGAGACGAAATTTTTTCGCTGATGATAAAGTGCACTGGATAGTTGTCTCGTCCCGCTTGCACCACATGAGAAGTGCGCGCTGCATTTGTATTCAACCGGGGGCTCAAACCAGGAACTTTTGATGTGATAACCCGTAAGAAATCTCACGGGACAATCCTGTACGGTTCCCGATATCTGTTGAAGTCCTGATAATTTAATATAACATTCTAGATTATTATACCTATTCGTTAATAATATTGGCCACTGACCCTGTTGCTCAGAAATTAGTATCTCCACTCTGAACCCAAGTCCTAGCCATCGCACAAAACCTAACAGAATAGTTCAATTATCATCCGTTTTTAAGGTACAATCTGCCATCCCAAGTGGTTATTTCAAAGCTGACGGGTGGACGATATTGACTACTTTTCCTAGTTTATCTAGTGTGTTCGGATCCGACAGCCACCTACTGACAGGCCACTTTCTCTGGCAATTGTTGTGGTTTTTAACCAGTTTCTAAAGTTGATAATACATTTATTACATTTTTATGATAAGTGAGGTAAGCTAGCCAATTTTACTGGAAGTTGA